GTTGTTCTGCTTTTCACTCGATATCTATTTATTCTGGACGTTTATTTGGAAGATTTAGTTTCTAGTTACTTTGCAGATTCTGATTCTTGTTAGTTAACCAGCTGCAGGACGTGTTGTTCTCTGTGAATTCATACATGAATAATATAGTGATGAATGAATGAATGAATGAATGAAGCGTACAGGGGGTGATGCTCATCCTGGGCGGAGCCTCTGACGCCTCGTCTTGTGGTTCGGGGCTGAGTTCTCCGGACGCCAGCCCCCGGCAGCGCAGCACCACCCACACGTCCGGGTGATACAGAGAGAAGTAGCGGCAGACTCGGCTGGCTTCATGAATACTGCCCTCATCTAGCAGCCGGCCAATCAGTGAAGCCAGAACTCTCTTCTCCTCTGGCCTCAAGCCTGACTTGATGTTCAGCTCCTGCTGCTCCTCCTGCTGCTCCTGCTGCTCCTGCTGCTCCTCCTGCTCCTCGGAGCGACCCGGGAGTCCGTCCAGACGCAGGCAGCTCTCTGTGTTCAGAGCTGATAGGTTGGAGAAGGAGAACTCCTTCATGAGGACTTCATACGTGTTCATTTCAGGTGCGACGGCCGGCGGCAGGTTGAAAACACTCCCCTTCTCCATGGCCACCGTGAGGACGTGTCGCCGGACCCGGCTGATCCAAAGCTTCTTCTCCATGATCTCCAGTTGGTCGATGGGAGTCGGGCTGAGCTGGGAGAGCCAGTGAGCGGCGAGGCCCAGCAGGAGGCAGCGCTCCTGGACGTCCAGCAGCTGCGTCTGAATGTCTGCAGCTCCGGACGAATCTGAAGCTTCAGCCTGCGACAGGAAGAAACAGGAGGCTGATCCTGGATCAGTGCTGTCGCTCTTCAGCTGCTCCTGACTTTTCCTCCAGAAACTGACTCGGGTCTCCAACCTCCTCCACGTCGTCTTGGACTTCTGGGAGTTCACTTCCTGAAGGAGCTGCGTCACAGTGATGAAACGAACGTTATATATTATTCAGCTGTCAATCAAGACGAGTCCGCCTGTTTCTATATGATCAAGAAACACATTTCTGACGAGTTTGAATTCCAAAAGACCTGAAGAACTAATTTGTCGAATAAAACGTGAAGCGTAAGTGACGCCAAAACGTCGCCCCCTGGTGGCCGACTGCACAAGACTTCCTCCCCATTTTTTATATAAACAAATAATAATTCAAACCAAACTGATCAGAAACACTTTAAACATCCGAGTGATGAGAACGACCTGAAATGACAGAATCATCTTCTGTCACATTTATTTAACGTCTACACTGATTCTGTAGTCTGGTCCGTGTCCCGTCTGCTAACATGGAGGCAGCGTTTGCAGACAGCCACCAGGGGGCGATTGAGATGTTTTGGGATCTGACATGTCGTCCATCTTTATTTAAAGTCTGTGGTCTGACGGTAGATCTGGAGGAAAACTTCTGTGAACTGAGAAAACGTCGGCAGACCTGGCTGAGCAGCAGGTGGTGGACGGGCAGGTCGGCCAGCAGCGCCACCTCTCTGGCCTGACTGTAGCGCCCCCTGGCCTGCAGAGCGTCCACAGCAGCCTGGAACTCCTCCTGCTGGACAGAGGGTGAACTGCACTGAAGCAGCCTGGGAGAGAGGCTGATGTCTGAGCCCTGCAGCAACTGACTGAGCAAACTCAGCTTCCTGAAGTCTGGACCTACACACAAACACACACAGTAGATACAAACACACAAGAAGGACACAATAATAAAAACAAACGTTTTTCTAGACTTCCATTTTAACCGACCGGTCAGAGTTCAGAACAAACGGGAGGAAGCCACTTTGCTGAGGTGAACATCTGCTGTTAGTATCGACCCCTGATCTCAGACAGGCTGACTCTCACCGTTGGATTTGAGGAGCTTGTCGACGTCGGCCAGGAGCTGCAGCAGGCGGTGGAGGTCGTACTGGGAGGGGCAGCGCTGCAGCATCGTGAGGAGCAGCGCCGAGGCCTGGCTCTCCACCCACTGCAGGGGGAGTCCACCAGGGGGCACTGGACCACTGTTTCTCAGCTACACCAGCAAAGACAAGAGACGACAGAGGAACAGCTCATTGTTGTAAGTGTGAGTGTTTGTAATGTGTTGATACGTCTCTAACATCACGTTATCTGGTTTGTGTTCACAGCTTTTTAGAAACAGTCTGTGGTGCAGTTACACAGATTTGTGTTCATTCTACCTGGTTTATCTGCACTGAAGCTGCTGTGCATCCATGATCAAACTGTTGTTTGTCCTACTTTTACTTTATCAATCTACAAACACTTTATTTATACTGTGAATAATCCTGATTTGTATTTCATTGATTATTGGATCAAATCTTTCAATGGGCTCGTTGGTGGAACTCACAGTGATGAGCGTCCTCTGGAAATCCAGCAGCTTCACTTTGGCTTCAGAAAAGTTCCTGTAGTCACAACACAGCTCGAACATCCTGAGCACCAACACCAGGGGGCAGTCCTGAGAGACGAGTCAGACCACAGAGTCTGAACTTTAATGACCATCATCAGGTTCGTCTGATCTAATAATCATCTGATAATCACTAAAGTAAGAAAGTTTTAAAATCTGATAAAAGACAATACATTTGTTCCTAAACACCCGAATGACTAAAATAAAAACAGAAGGTCCCTGAAGGTCGATAATATGAATATGATAATATAAATAATATGACGCATTTTTACAAACTTGTCCTGGATGAAAAGATGAATTTCATTCTGTGAGAGGAGCAGATCTCCTCTGGAGGAAACTTCATATTTAATATAGTTGTTCAATCCTCTGAACCACGAGTCATCATCTTTCATCTGACTCAGTGTAAACTGGGTCGAACATCACACTTTAACTGCTGCAGGTGTTTTCACCTTCACCATTCTACAACTCGACACAACGGTTGTGTCTCTGTTGTGATTGTGTCT